CCGGCAAAACGAAACAAATGGAATACAACAAACCTAAACTTTGTCCCACAGTACCTACCGTCAGCATAAACGCCTCAAGTCCCGTCTGTGTTTCATCAGCATGCATAAAGCACTAGAATGTTGGCCTCTGGCTGGTGGCGGTGGCGGGGAAAGCGAGTAAAATTCGTACTTCGAAGGTCCAAACGACGTTATGCAGTGAGTCATGTGTGTTGACTTAATTTATACTGCTTGGTGATAATTTATTCAGTGAGAATAGTTTTTAAGTGTACTCAAGTAGATGGTGTCTTCTTCCGTAAGGATCTGATCTACGGTGGCGGCAGTCCAGTGTTCGATTGGCAAAGTCTGAGCACGTAACCGTGCTGAAAAACTCATGAAAGAACATTGTCTTCCCATAAAATGTTTAAAGAATGGATCATAAGTAGCGTGCATCCATCGAGTTATGGATGCACGCGGGGGGTTGCTAAGCTCGAAGAAAAGCGTTGTGAAGCTGCGAAGTAGATGGTGAGCGTGATATTTATAGTTAACTACTCGGGCTACCTGTGGTAAGCCCGAGTCTAAGTTTCGGTTTTCTATAAGTCTATCTATCTATCTATCGATGTTGTCGAAAATGTTTAAGCCTGCGCTGCTTGGCGGTCTGCGGTCTGCTAGGCGGTCTGATGAGAGAAAACAACATGGACGCCATATTGGAATCTCTCTAGAAAACAAATGCGTTTCCAGAAGAACATAATCAAGAAGTCTTGGACTATCATTAAGAGTGTGTTGATCGTTGCCTTGTGCATGGTTTCCTCATGGCTTTGGTTGTACAACATTTCATAAATGTGTCAACAAAAACTTTGGCAAACTCTCTACAGCATAACTGCGATATATTCAAAAAAGTTGTACAATTATCTGTATTTAGTTCATCCCAATAAATAGTCATATTTATCAAAGGAATGCAGGTCTCGTTATGCTAAATTCCTTACTCATGTTGAGCACAAGCCTCGTGTTGTTTTGCGTGATCAAGAACCAAGTAGAGTTCCAGTCAAACAGCTCACTGGTCTTTTGCACAAAAACAGAAAAATACGCTTCCACTGTTGACAAATCCAAGTTCACAAAAATGTACTTCGTGTAGTTTATCCCATTTTTATCCCAATTTCTGCTCCACAGCTTAAGGTGATATTGCATTATTTGGGCCAAATGCTGGTTGTCAATGTGTAGCCATATCACTGTGTGCATTGATATATAAGCATAGAAACTCAAGGTCTTCAGCAGATTTATTAAGCATTATTTATACTGGGAATGAGTTATATTCTGTCCTGTCAAGATTACACAACCAAGACATTTTACTTTTGACAGAATTACCTTGAATGGTAACAGTGTTAGAAACTAATTACCAGATGGAATACAGCACAAGTTACACTGGTAATATACATGATATTTCACATACTGTCGATTTCCTTTACTCTAGTGCATGCTCTTAGGTAATGCTTTGCAAATTTTAATTAGAGAAAATTACCAGTCATTCCTGTTAACTATCCAATGTAATACAGTAGCTATTTGCTGTAATGGCGATGGGAGATTTAGGATATTTGACTCTCATGCTTGTAATCCATCAGGTCCCTCCAATCCTCAAGGTACTTGTGTACTCCTCGATGTTGATGACTTTAATAAATTACTTCCAAAGTTTATATGACAATTTAACAGTTTTATTTGAACTCAGAGGAGTGTGTATTACTGAGACATGCATACAAAGCAATGCTACTGATAATCCTTTTAATGCACAAACCCACACTGAACAGAGTGAAGTGATTGGCAAAGCTGCAGATGATAATCAGCAAAGAAACAACAGTAATACTAATTATACAGCTTCTCAATAATCCCATATAGGTAACTGTCCAATTATTTTCTTAATTGGACAGGTGTTGCTGATATGGGATTAATTAGGCAGCTATATAATCAATAGGTAATGGGATTTCATGCTCCCCAATCAAGAAATAATTAGAACTCGAAAATTTCCTCTGACTGCCAAATTGGACTCTGCCTACGGCCTCATCCAATTTTGTCAGTCCTCGGTATTTTCCTTGTCCAATTATTTCTTAATTGGACAGCATGGAGTCCTATTACATATACAAATTCGAATGCCAATAATACCAATGGTATTCCTTTGAGAAGTTGCTGTTTCCCATCATTATGTAAACCACACACCAAAAAACTTGGCTGGGGCTCCAATTGCTTATACTTCATCGAATTTACACTATGGTAGCCCCACTAGTTCACGCCACGAAGGGCGTCTAGTTTTTACTTTATTTTATTCTTTGAACTGTTAGTCTTTCTAAGAATGAAATGTTATGTTTTCTCATCCTTTATCATCAAAGCTCAAGTGATTTTCAAWATACTACTGGTGGATCCAGACTAGTGCCACTAGTTCCATGGAGCTAGTCAAAGTTTTTGAAAAAAGAAGAAATGAATACTTTTTAAATAAATCATAAGCGAAATTCATACAAAAAAATCTTTCAACATTTTTAATCCCACGCAAATGGCTGCACTTCCGGTCATTCTTTCTGGAAACAAATGTTCTTGAGACAAAATTTGTGTATTAGGGTCGGGGCCCACGGGAATGTATTACAACCTACAAAAGTGCAAATTTATACGAAGTTATCCGGACGGGCTACCTGTGCACTACGAACCCGGTCAGAGCCTGGAATCTGCACGTGGGAATTTGAATTTTTTTCTTATTTAGGATCAGTGCCCCCCCAGCTCCTAGGTCCTCGCTACGCCCCTGAAAGGAAACATGAAGTTATCACTAACGTATGGAAACCGAATAGCGATTTTCAAGTCAAAAGAAGGCAGCAGAACTAGAAGATTTAATCCAGTCTGGTTGAAAAGTTTTCCTTGGTTGGTATATTAAAAGTACCTCGATGGAGCCTTCTGCCTCCCCTGCTCTATGTTTGCCAAAGAAAGTGGCCGTAATTCCAACAAGCTGGACAAACTCGTCAAGTCGCCGTTGACCTTTTGGACAACTGCTTTTTAACGCCTAGGAAGTCATTCAAATGGCAAATGTCAAACACGTAATTACTCTGTTGTTGCAATGAATAATTTCATTCGAAGTATGAGACAAGAAACGGTTCCTGTAAATCAGCAACTAGATACCTTGCTACAGCAACGAATCCCCAGGAATCGAGAGATTATCTCATCTTTATTCAAAACCATTATTTTTTGCGGTCGTAATAATATCGCTCTACGCGGCCAACGAGATGACGATCCAGCTAATGAAAGTCTCCAAGGTAACTGCCAAGCAAGACAACTAATAAGTAAGAATTGTCTTATATTAGCTGCGGTTACACTAGGCTTCAGCACCAGGTATCCTGTGTGTAATTGGCTTGGGTAGTGTTTGGTTTGGGTTTCCGGTGAGGGTAGGATTTCCGGTTACACCTAGAAAATATCACCCAAGGTAAACTTTTGACCCACAGCAATTTGGCGGGAAGAGTTCTCAACATGGGACAACTGTAGGGATGCTGTAGCACTTTCACGACGTGTTTCACTATCGGGGACAAACTGTAAGGATGCTGTAGCACTTCGACGATTGGTTTGGTCGGGAACAAATTGCAGAAAATGTGCAGCTTGATTGTTAGAAAAAGCCGGAATTTGATTACTGTATGGTAACGGATGCTGTAGCTCTCGTTGTCTTTGAAAGAAATATCCATTATAGTATCCAACTGCATCTTGATCTTCGTCTCGTACTCGAAAGTTAGCTATGGCTATCTTTCCTTGTACGCGTAGCGAATACTTCGGAGCCAAAATTTCCATAGGATCAGGTATCGAACGGCGAGACGTTTCCGGCTCTTAAAAGGATTTTCTTGTACACTGGTACGTGATTGGTTCAGCTACTCTTTTGGCTAGATAAACTCTAGATGTATCCATGGTGATTTCCTGTGTGTAATTTCACTGTGGGATTAGAGGTCAACTACTCGTTCCTGGAATCATCGGATCGATTATGGTTTACACGCCGTCTACATATAACAAATCATGATTCATATAAATCATAAGATATGTTACAGTCAAACCAGCTCATGCGTTCCTATGAAGGTTCATCGATTCATTTCATTATTGGGAGTTTGATTATCATTCGAAGCTTGCATCAATGAAACAAGCGTTGTAAATTTCAATCCCAGTGTCTGCCTCAAAACATCTGAAAATGTTCATTTGTGAAGGATTTTTTTGAAGACAAAAACTTT